TAAATCTGTTAATGGAATTTATTGAGAGCTGGTGAACAAGTCTGAATTGATGAAATCCCATATTAATCAAATCCTTTCGTTTTTCTTTTTCTAACCTATATTTGAAAAGATATAATCGCAAAAACTCCAGTAATAATAATAGTGTGATTAGGCAATCTAAAAACAAGAAGGTTTTTCTTGTGAATGACATTCATGATGTTTGTTATCTTGTATTCATATATGTATGTAAACAATTGAAGTTGCATATATGTAAATATGCAAATAAATAAACTGTTCTCAGATAGACAGACATACAACCAGACAGATAGATAGTACCATATTCTCTAAAATTATTGTTATAAAAATTTTATCACTAATTAATCCATTTATTTTTAACATAAACTTAACAATAATATTAGAGAAAAAGAGAAAAATACGATATCAATTGAAATATAGATTGACCTTAAACACAGGGAAGATAGATAGTATTAGATGGATTGCAAATAAGAGCAAACAGTTTTGTAGTATAATATTAAAGCCTATACAAAATTTAATGGTCAATTTACTTAATTACATATGAACCTTATTGACAAAGAAACGTAAGGTGAGTTTACCAAAAGCAGTTTTGTAAATGGCAGGCCACCACTGCAGCTCAAATTCTCTAGTCGCCCTGCCTTCGCCTTGACATATTGTAAGTGAGCTGCGGACATTTGGTTGTGCTTTTTTAGACTTCATCTCACCGGCCCTTCTCTTGGCCGCCCTTAGTGCCTCACGGGGATCGTCGAGGTCGTAAGGGTCGTTCGTTACCAGTTCTCCAGCATTTGTGTATGCTGCTTTCAGCTGTAGAACCACATCACTTTGTTCATGAAACAGTTCGATGATTGGCTGTTCGTCGAAGAATTTGTATGAGAATCGAAGCGATCGATTGACTATCATAGGCTGTTTTAAATGGCTCATCTTTCTCACAGCATCTGTATAAGGTCCATTTAGCTTCCACAACATGCGATGGAAAAATTCTTCAGGCACTTGGAAGACCTCGACTCGGAACCAGCGGCCTAAAACAATAATAATAAAAAATTGTCTTATTAGTTTTTCAATAGTTTTTCAACGTTTTTTAGGGTGGTCAGGGGAGGGTCGGCATCACTTTTCGCTCCAAACGTTTAGAAATTTACGAAACACAACATTTTGAGTGACGTAAAAGTGACGTATAAGATCACTTACGAGATTCTACATATACAGCGAAAAACTGTTGATAACACAATCAAACATTAGACTGGCTAAAACTCAAGCTGCTATTCTGTTTTTCTTGTTTATGTGTGTGTGCTTACCTCTAGATTTTGGATGGTGTGCACCGTTTACTCTTTCAACTAGGCAAGCTAGCCATCGTAAATAATTCGCCCGTACAACGGCATCGGCAATCTCACAAGCCACCGGGACAGTAACGTCTTTCTTTGAAGAATCAAAGAATCTTGGCGTGTTGCGCAAGCCTTGATTATGTCGCAGATAACAATGTTTCTCCAGAGTTCTAGTTGAGAGAAAATATCTTTCACAGTAGACACATTGACATTGAATTTTAAAAGACATTGTTGTGTTTGCTGTGTCAGCTGTTGAAACCACGAGCAGCTACACGTGCATGCACAGTACTTTAACATCGAAGCTGTCAATCTGTATTACATCGGAAGCTGTCATTTAGAAATTAGGTAATGTGAGACAAGGCTTTGTTTCGATTGACTATTATTCACATAACTGTGCTTTAAAATGGACGAGATTACAAAGACTCAAAAGCGTTACAGTCGCAAACATACAAAGGAAGAGCGCAAAGCGGAAAAACGAAGATACAAAGAAAGACAGAAGCTACTAAAAAAGGCTACTAAACCTGCAAAAATAAACCAAGGTGTACAGACAGAAGCAGTCCAAACTTCAACTTTCACCGCCAGAGGTCATCACATGGTAAACCTGGCCAAGCAAGCCACTATTAGAAAAAACGACCAAGTTCCTAGCACTGCTCAATCTAATAATATTTCGTCAATAACTCGAATAAACAGAGACGATCTCACAACACAAAAACAAGAAGACATCATCGGAAGTGGAAGCTACGGGACATGCTATAAGGCATACTACCGAGGAAACATTCCTGTGGTTATAAAGGAGTTCAAACCATTATTGAGCAAAGCTGAAGTGATTCGTGAAGCTACTGCAATACTAAATATTCAGAAAATAGAACACCACCCATGCCTTCCTCTACTACTTGGTATTAATCTGAACAAAAGCCCCCCTCTTTTAGTGACTCAATTTCATGGGGCTGAAAACGATACTTCACATACTCTCTCTAAAGCCATACGAAGTAAACTACTTAAGTCAAATGAACAGTGGCTCGACATTTTAATACAGCTCGTAAAAGCTGTAGGATTTATCCACACCCGCGGATGGATTCACAACGATCTTAAAGAAAATAACATTGTTTTGCACAAAATAACCGAAATGGAATGGAGACCAATCGTGATTGATTTTGGCAAGAGTGTTAAGGTATTGGAAGCTAAATGTTGCAAGCCTAAAGAGAAGAATTACTACTGGATTGCACCAGAAGTCCTAGAGGGACGCAGTCCACCGTTGCAATTAAGTGACATTTTTTCGTTAGGCTTTATTATTAAATTCGTTTTTAGGAAACTTTTCACTCATAAATTGGCCGACTTCGTATTCGAATCATGCTTGATAAAAGCTCCTCATTTACGTATGACAAGTGCTCAGAAACTAGCTGCAACACTAATAAGTTACAAAAAGGCAAGCAAGTAACTTATTTTAAAAACCGACTATAGACCGACACTAGAGAAAAACGGTTCCGCATGCGTGCATTTTAGCACGTTTTCTAAGAATTTTGAAGAGTTTGAGTGAGAAAATAAATGTTTAGTTTTCTCCAAGTATACTTGTCAGACCAAGTTACGTTATTGACAAACACAATATGAAAGAATTACCCTTAAATTTCAAACATGGACACTAGATTTTGGCACTTTGTGAAGTCCAATTTATCAGGCACGTTTGAAAGTTAAATTTACTGTTTTGACTAATTTGCATACGGATTCAGAGCATATGCTCGTGTAATCTTCCGATCAAATTACAGAAGTTTACAGTGATTTACAAAAATGTATAAACAGCCTATTTATAAATGTCAGTGTGAATACTTGAAAGAGATATAAAACAAATATAAAATTAATATTACGATACGGCGGACGGTTCAATTGTTGTATTAGGCAGAGATAACGGTCAAGATACGAAAAACGGTTCAGTTTACTATCATACGAAATCTACTCGTATGTAAACTATTCTAAATAATCGTGAGTCTGTATATGTTGATATATCTATATTTCAAGTGTGTGTATATTTAAATCCTTAATTTTGATATTAGCAATATTTTCCTTAGTATTAATTGTACGTGGATACGAATAAACACTTATCTATCTTCTGTCTATCCGATCTTTAATTGCATGAAATTTTTTTTTCTTACACTTTTAACGATTTTACGTGAGCACATTCCAAGCACGAATTCTTGGTAGAGCGGTCACACTACAAGCACTTTGTAGTCATGGCGATAATCCTCTTAGCGCAGACCTGCAGCGCAAATGTGACCTCGGCCATATTATCAAACATCTTAATCTCCACGGGATTATAACACCCTTAAGATACGGTTTGACAACTCAATGACAGAAAAGCTGGTCCCCTGGGTGGATTTTTTTCCTTAGCCATAGCTCCTCGTGTCTCGTGTGTAAACATATGATGGATTAGCTGTCTCAAAAAGGAATCAAGTTAAATTAATTTTTGGTCCAGTGAACTCGTGAATAATACACTGAATTTTTTTTTTCGTTTGCTAGGTCCCCAACGCAAGAAAACAAGAACGGCAAGCGAACCTAATCGGCCCAGAACGTTTCCTGTGGCTGAAGATCCTGTGAAAATATCCGATCTTTTACCAGACCAACAAACTACCAACACCGAATACCATCGACACTGGAACAGAATAAGAACGCGATTCTCGCGAGATAACAGATTGGCCAACTGGTATAACTATCGCCTTCCTTCACTTAACCCAGACCATCTTATCAGTTATTTCCACCAAGTTTTCAGAGATCAGTCCACCGTCTTCAAGCTCAATATATCCTTTGGATATATACTACGAAACACTGTTACCGATGAAGTACAATATCACTATGCATCCAGAAACAATAATAATGTATTTGAAACACCTTTCCAAGTGGTCAACGAAAGCGACCTACAGCCGATTGAAAACGAATTACGAAATCTAGATATCTTAGAATGGGCTCGTCAACAACAACCATCATCCAAGTGGACAGTTGATAGTATCACTAACATCACTTTTTTCCCTACAAACATCCCTCGTCATCCCATTGGCTGTGGTAAATGCCTTCCACATTATATCGTCGAAAACCGCGGTATCGTGCCTCTAGACTGTGAGAAAAAGACTGGTCAGCCCTATTCAGACAACCTATGCTTCTTCCGTGCACTTTCACTTCACAATGGGTGCCATCCAAGAAATTTGGAAAGAGAAGCAAAATGGTATTATCGAAGGTAAGTGAACTTTCTTTACTTTAAACAGCTGTATGAAAAGTTTGCTTAGAATATATGGATGTTTACCTATGTTTTGTATTCAATGTTTAGTCATTTCGACGTTTGTTGTAGTCATATTTGGTTCAATATGCTGTATTTATTTGTATGCAATGTTCTTCATCTAGTCTGTGTCATTTTGTATGTAATAAATTGTACGAGTGTAAAAGACTATTAAGATTATTCTTTTTGATTATTTTCAGGTATCAACAAACCTATCCAGACGATGAGTTCAACGGTGTGACACTGGAAAGCCTGCCTGATCTCGAAACCCTTTTTCAAGTTAATATTAATGTTTATTCCCTGGTAAAGTCCACCTCTCATGATGATGACGAAAACGACGAAAATGAACAAAGAGAGGTCACCGCACAACTCATTCAAAGATCACATCGAAAGCATCCCTCCACGCTCTATCTCAATCTCCACGGGAATCACTTTTCATATATAACAAGTTTTGACACGCGAAAACGTGTCAAATGTGCTGGGCACATTGGATACTTTGAATAGATTAGAAGACTATTTGGGATTTAGTCATTGTAAGACAGAAGAAAGTCCGTGAATTCGGTTTGAATATTTTTTTACGGTCAAATCGAACCAGCATAAACGAGTCTTGGTCGCAAACCCCAAAGCAAGCCTCCGTCTCTCTGAGAACCAGTGTTATGGTGGCTCCATCGGCTCAAAAMCACCWCACAAAACATTATTGAACAGAAGATTCTCCATCTACAGAAAAAGTTTGGTCTCCAAAAAAATTTACCTCAGAATACCCTGCGAGCAGAGTCTCCTTTACCTTCCCCCGAGTGAGAGAAAGGAAAGAAGACCCTTTCCTTTCTCTCACTCGGGGGAAAGGTAAAGGAGACTTTGCTCGCAGGGTAACCTCAGAATGGAAATATTACGAAAAACGTATCTCTTTCCCTACGCTTCTTAGTAAATTTGCCCCCCAAACAATATGGCGTCCGAAACCGTTGAGCAGTTGATCATAGCTAGGAATAGGTAATCATAGCAAGGGAGAGGTGAGGTATAAGTGTGGAATACTTCTATGGGAGACTATACGTATGAGCGACTATATGACATTCTACCATGAAGTACATCCCTTCCAAGGAAAACAAACACTCGATCGATCGATAAAAGTCAATAAAATACAGAAACTGGACGACAAACTCGATGGAGATTCAATGTTTTGGCTGGTTTCAGGTGGTATCAAGATGGTTTCAGGTCGTTTTAGGTGGTTTCAGGTGATTTTAGGTCGTTCCTTGTTTTAGTAAATACCAATAGTACTATTTTAGATCAATGACGCAGTAGAAATTCCTGGCCCGCTCCCATTCAAGCTTACGGCATAAAATACGTTTTTGTCATAAAAATATTCGACTAGAAATAAATATGTTTTGCTAATCAAACCAAATATCATTTTTCTTGTTAATAAAATAATATAAAACTCGTGCGAGTACTATTTTACATCAATGACGCAGTAGAAATTCCTGGCCTGTCCATTTACAATCTTTTGTTTACGTAACTAATTCGAGTTGTATCAAAGAACAAAAATCGCACTTAAAGTTTCTAATTTAGCTCCAGTTTCTAATTATCTGCTTAGAATACTACCAAATTAAGTTTAAAGTAAGTTGGATTAAGGCACTCTTACCACGAAAACCACATATGTTCAACCTCTTTCGCCTCCTCCGTGTCCTGATCTTACAGATCTCAACGTGCATTTTCACCTCGTGTTTCACTAATGTCAATCATGACGAGGTCCACCAATGGCATTCGTAACACTAAATTCCGATCATACCTAACTCACCAAAAACAAATGTACTGTGCCCATAGGCCCAGCACAAAAAATATGAAAGTTTATTCCAAATAGTACTTATGCTCCTGATGTGGCAAGTTTTGGAAAGATGGCTTTATGCTTAACCGACATGAAATCACCTGTAAAGGAAAAGTAAAACACGTCTTTCCCGGCAGCACCTACAAGACAGCCAAGACTGTCTTCGAGCAACTAGAAGATGTTGGAGTTGTTGTACCTGAGAATCTACGTTACTTTCCCTACCGAGCCGCCTTTGACCTGGAGTGTTACTTTCAAGATAACCACGAGCTTAACAATACACATAAATTAACATGGGAGAAAAAACACGAACTGTTAAGTGCTTCTATTTATTCTAACGTTCCAGGATATGATCATCCGTACTGCATTGTTACGGATGGTGACTCTGAAGCCTTAGTTAAACGAT